TTTCAAAATACTTTTCCCCTGTGACATTAAACACAAAGTGCAAACTTGTAAATCAGAAAGTTTAGACATGAAATGTGAACAAAACTGTCTCTAAAGTAGGGCTGGGTAAAAAAATCGATTTAATCGATTTCGAATGGATTGCTTTACATTTTTGCAAAATCGATGTCTAGGGAATGAGATCGATTAGTTTTATAGTGACGTTAACATTCAAATGAGCAGGAAAGATGCTCTCAAGATGACTTCAGGCTTGACAGCTGCTAATATAGCCAATAGGTTGACTGAAGACATTAACAAATGGGGGCTGACCAGCAACAACCTGTAGTTACAGACAACACTGCACATATGGTAATTGTGCAGCCAAGATAGTGCAGCTCATGAATTTCTGCTGTGATCCCGCTGTGTCACGTCTGCTTGCTTGAGTGAGGCTTCACTTTTTCACTTTTCGCAAACAAGTTTGCACTTTTAAGACAGTTTTGTTCACATCTCATGTTTAAACTGTCCGATTTACAAGTTTGCAATTTGTGTTTAATGTGATATGAAAAAATAAAATACATGAGTATTTTCTGACACACAGTTGAACCACTTTCAGTATTGTAAAAACAGATCGAATCGAATTAATCGATTTAGAACTGTATGAATCAAAATGGAATTAATTCAGGACTTTGGCGAAAATACCCAGCCCTACTCAAAAGTGCAAACTTGTTTGCAAAAAGTGAGAAAGTTAGGCCTCACTCGAGCAAGTAGACGTGACACAGCAGACGTTTATTAGCTGCATTATCTCCACAGCACAAACCATAGGTGCAGCGTTGTCTGTAACAACTACAGGGTGTTTTCTGGTCAGCCCCCATTTGTTAATGTCTTCAGTGAACCTATTGGCTTTATTTGCAGCTGTCTGGCTTGAAGTCATCTTGAGTGCAACTTTCCTGCTTATTTGAATGTGAACCTCAGGTGCATCATTATATTATTATAAAATGAATCGGATCTCATTCCCTAGACATCGATTTTGCAAAAAATGTAAAGGAATCGATTCAAAATCGATTAAATTGATTTTTTTACCCAGCCCTACAGACTATATAGTGAACTTTATAGTGAACCCAGTTAACTGATCGTTCGGACAGTTGATCACTACTTTTCGTTCCCCGTTGGTCACGTAACTCCGCCTCCCTGCACGGTGACGGCACCATCTTTGTTATTTGCAGTGGGCTGCTGTGACAACATATCCCATGATGCTTTGCGAGGGGAGCTCTTGCAAAGCATATTGGGATATATCTGCTCATCTAGTGAACATAGGTCACTAATCTCCAAAGTACATTGTGGGAAATTTCGAGTTGACTACTTTTTCATCCACTAGACATTCAGACTCATTTTAAATGGGACAATCACTATATAGTGGCTGATGATCAGACACAGCCCAGCTTTTAATTTGTTTTTGTCGTTCAAAGACTTGAGACTTGGACTAGACCCTTAGTGATTTAGTGACCTTGGGAACAGTGAGTTGGTTCAATTCATGTCTGTCTGATCGGTTCAGAATCCTCCTTCTCTCCTTCCTCATCATTTAGGTTTATTAGAAAATTTTTATTCCTTATTTCGTCCCTTTAATTCCCTCTAATACTTCTCATGTCTGCAGCCGTTCCTGATTGCTACTGAATGATCTTTAAACTCCTCACCTGTTCCAGATTCCTTCTCTTTGTTTGTATCTTAGAGGCCATTTTAAAACTATTGTTTCTGTTTTGAATTGTTTCAATGATCTTATTCTGATGTTCCTCCTCTCCTGTCCTGAAGGTATCGGGGTCTGAGGCAGGGTCTTTACCTGATGATTAATCTTTCGCACCATTTACACTTTTCTTATTAAACGGTGCCGAAATCAGTCCGAGTATGATAACCGAGATAACCGTTGAGTGTAAATGGCACGCACAACCAAAACCGCTACAATGCTAAACTGTAGTTTTAGCTGAGTGTCTGAAACGTCATGATTATGGAGTCCGACTGTAAGGAGATGACGCCGTCTGCTCATGCGCTCTTTGTTATCCGAGAACCGAGCCAGAACTACAGTGTGCCGAGCCCTACTGATGAACTAGTACCAGGTTAGCGCGGTTCGGTTGTGTCTGGCACGGTCCAGTTCAGTAGTGTGTGCCATTTACACTCAACAGTTATCTCTGTTACTGCGCTCAAAATGATCTTGGCACGGTTTCAAAAAGGGTAGAGTAAACGGGGCTAATGACGTATAAATATAGCCGTTTATGGACATGTGGGATCATCACCACCTCACCCACCTGAATCTGCCACCTTCTGATAAAGTCTCCTTTTATAATCATTGCTTTAAGGACTAAACAAAGGAATATCTACTGCTCATATCTGACTCTTTCCATCAGTTTTTGGTGTTCTTGGGGCGTTTTTATGGGAATAAACGCCATTATGTTTAATTTATAACATTAAAGCTCAAACTCATGGAAAATTATCAGGTTTGATGTTCCTTCAGTTTAAATTAAAGTCACATTAATTCCATCTAGGTTCATTTTCAGCTTCTTTTTGTGGATCTATAACATTTGCGTGAATTGTCTTATAGTTAAATACAACATACATTTCTATATATTTGTATATGGTTTTGTGTGATTTGGCCCCACCTGTGTGAACGTAGACTTTAGACTAAAAGAGCTGTTCTTAGTGTTAAAAACTACATTTCTATTAATTCTAAAGAAATCAGTGTAAAAAACCAAAAGCCTGATAAGGGAGAAAAGTTTCAGGTAATGAACTCTAAAACTTTCCAAACACAATTTAAAGTAGCATAAACCTACAAACAGAAGTTGCTCAAGAAATTCCCAGCAACATTTTAACCCAACAGTTTGAAACAGTTTAACAATAGCCTGTTGAACCTTGATATCAGAAACGTTGTCTTCATTCATCCTCTCCTCCCACATCTATCCTCCCCAACTGATAAAAAATGAAGGGAAACATACGGAGTAAAACTCAGAAATAACAGCAGGGAGCCACAAACATTCTGATGAGATATAAAATGAAACCTCTACATACCAAACAGATGAGACATTAATCTCTTTACAAAGTACCCCCCCCCCCCCCCCCCCCCCCCCCCCCCCCCCCCCCTCCCCAACAACAGCAGAGGACCTGCTGCCGCAGCAAATAGACAGTAGGGAGTGAAAAACAGGGAGGAAAACAGCAACAGCTGAACTGACTTCATTGTTTCAGTATGTTTGAACTTTTCTGCATTATCTTGTTTCTTGATCCAGCCAGGGGCGGATTTACCACTAGGCCAAACTAGGCAGTTGCCTAGGGCCCCAAGTTCCTGGGGGCCCCATAAAACTCCTATTACATGTATAGTTAATACAGCTATTTGTGCACATTCATTATGTTTTCAATAAAATGCCATCAGAACGCTGATAATATTAAGTGTGTCTCAGCCCCCCTTTCAGTGTCCGCCATATTGGATCAGTCCATTTGCTGCACATGTTCAGAAAGGTCCAATCAGACAGCAGCAAACCATCCAAAAACAAACCATGCAAAGAGCAGTGTTGCCAACTTAGCGCTTTTGTCACTATATATCGTGACTTTTCAGACCCCTCTAGCACTTTTCTTACAAAAAAGCTCCTAGCGCCAAATCTAGCAACTTTTTTCTGCTACTGGATACTATGGGAACAACATATAAAAGCAGCGAACTCTGCTCTCCAGAGCAAGCGGATTGGTAACCCCGCCTCCTGCTCTCCTCTATCTTGTCTGATGTCATGGTTCATGCTGTTATTATTTTAATACAATCAGGGATTGTTGAGATCCAGAGGTGTATCAACAGATTACATTAGGAAAAGATGGGAGGATGAGTTGAATACTGAAATATCACAAGAACAATGGGACAATATGTGTGAATCTGCTGCTTCAACCTTCTCCTCAAACTATTGGCGTGAGTTCAGTTGAAAAAACCTGTTGCGTTTTTTTAGGACACCGAAGCAGCGGTTTCATGGAAACCCAAATGCTTCTAAATGCTGGAGAGGATGCGGGGACAAAAAGGCAAATCACTGATATTTTCTGGTCCTGCATAAAAATCAAGTCTTATTGGAAAGACGTTTCGGAGAAGGTTGAAACAATTTTGGATCTTAAACTCCAACAACCTACCATGTTCTCATTGCTCGGAGCCGTTCCCACAAAATGGAAAAGTTAACATTTATGCTGAGACTGCAATCGGATCTTTATAAAAAAAAGATGGAGCAAATGGACTAGATTTCTAAAAAACAATAACTGAATCAGGTCACTTGTACTGTCACTTCAAAAGCTGCTCAAAAATCCAAAGATTGAAATGTAAATTTGATGCTGTTTTCATCCTGTATCTTTTCATCTTTGTCAGAATGTAAGTAATTCTTCTTGTCCACAGTGGTTTCCGTTCTGTGTTCTGTATGTGATTGATAAATGAAACACATTCAATAAACATAAAGTATAAAAAAAAAAAATGTGTTTTCTTCAAAAACTTAAATTGCCTAATATTAGATATTATGTATTTTTCTCTGATTGTGTTTTATAATTAATGGTGTTCGCTGAGAAAACTCAGTGTGTGTATTTTCTTAGTTTTTTTTATTATTGTCTGTGGTCTTTATGTTCAAGTCTTAAGAACTTTTTCTATTTTAACAAACTTGAGAAAACTAAAAAGAATATTTGTTTAATTCCATTTAGAGTAAGGCAGCAACATAAACATGGATAAAGTTCAGCGCTGTGAATAATTTCAGATCCAATGTTCTCCTTTCTAGACTTTCCTGCACAGCTCCAGTTGATGAAGCTTTAAATTGTGAGCCAGAACATATTTCAGCAGGAATGATGATTATATATGTGACTGAAGCTAAGTGAGGTGATCATTTTGTATTATAGTGTTTTTACAGTAATAATAAAAAAATAATTTCTCCAATAAACCCAAACTGCCGAATCTTTGGTTTAGGAAGTGAACAGAAATCCAACATAAGCCGAAGCACATGGAAGATGAGGTGTCTGAGAGGATCTCTTACTGTCTTCTCCTGGGCAGGGCATGCCTGGCCGCTCCGGGATGCTGGGGAAAACTGGAACAGACAAAAAGAGGGAAACATTAAAAAATATGTAGGTATTTTTCTTGTGCTCAAGTTACAAAAATCAGGGTATCAACAGTAAGAACAGTGGAAAATCTAAACAACTGTAATTATTTAAAACCATTACTCATTTGTTGGTACCTTTTAGTTTCAAACAATATTTCCCTTTTTCTGAGAAATATCTGATTTATAACCAATCTATCGATCTAATATATTCCTGTATGTCTTAATAAAGGCCACAGGGAGTGAGGGACACCCAGGTCCACTGTGCCAGGCCCAGTGGAGGTACTTAGGCAATTATACTCATTTCCTGTAGTGAAAGCAAATAGACCTACTATAACGTTTAAGATGCATTAAAAAAAAAGTCTTAACAGAAAAAATGGTTAGCATCCTGGCATAACTCTGTGGCTCTAATAAAACAGAAATCCCACATAAAAGGAAAGTTGCCTTTTTGTCCTCGGTGTTTAACCCGTCCATCATGGAGGACTGTGATGTCACACTGAGTGGGGTTAAGGCTCTTACTCAGGGACCCCCCAGCTACAGTCAGTTAACCTTTGTGGACTCTTCATGACACTAAGGTTGCCCCCCCATAGCAACACAGAGGACGTGCAGTTTAGTAAAGACAGAAGAAACTCTGGAGCAAACAATGTTCACTAAACTAACTTTACCCAGTAAAGGCAGGTATGCACTGTACAACTGTTTGCCCTTTTCGGGCAGATTTTCTGGTCGTGGGAGAATTTTTCGATTGGGCCAACTTTCAGCCTGATCATGCATCCTGCATTGTGTAGTGTACAGGGGAGAAAGGGGGGTGATCAGCCTCTCGCGACCACCTCCCGATCAGGAATCATAAGGTTAGGAGAAAATCAAAAAATTTTAAATTCATTCAGCCCTCGTGAGGCGTTTGTGGGCAAATCCTTCTGTTGAAGCAGAGCTACGTGCCGATTTACCAGGACCTCAAGCACTGCTGCAAACAAAGGAGTTCTTCTTCTTCCAGATTGCGTCTGACCAGCACCATCTCTCGGAGCTGAGTCCGACGTGGTTTTTCTACGTATAGTGTGAGCAAAAGATTGCATCAGAGCGTCAGGCCGTACAGTGGCAGAACTTTCACCGTGAGCTGTGAACTTTTAAAACCTGTGGATTCGTTGTACAGTTTGAGCTGTAGCTGCGTGCAACGATTGAAAATATCCCACGGTGTATACCTGGTTTAAAGCTACTCTAATTACAAAATCAGCTGACAGACAGAACGTACTACGGCCACCATCATTTAAAGGTTTGCTTGTATAAAGACATAAACTTGATAGTGAGTGCAAAGATGATCTACTAACCAGCCAATGCAAGAATTGTGTCAGTGACATGAGCAAAACGGCAGATCTAGTCCTATTAGCATGTTTGTCTTTACAAATAAACACAACATATGCTGAACATAAGAACATACAAAACACTGGGTGGAGAATATAGAAAATAACGACCAAATAACGATGGTCATTGTGGTGAGAAGGAGGCGTGGCCTCAATGACAGTAGTTTCTTTGTGCTTGCTTCATCTTAGGATTGAACCATGTTATTTATCAACGAATGGTAATATTCTGAAAGATTTCTAGCAGAAATGCATTTTCTTGCATATGCGTGGATCACTCCGTCATACTATCCTAGTTAGAAGCATCTACAAGATGGATGTTCTGGTGAATGTCCTGTCATTTTGGACCGATCTAAAGCTCTCGAAAATCATGAACACAACAAGTACCTTGTTCTTAACGAGTTGGTGCCCGCCTTAGACAAAAAGTATTCCCAAACCTAGCCTTGCGCTTTTTCTCACAAATATCGCTATGTAAGCTGCTTTGTTTTTTCAAAAGTAGAGCCATACTCTCAAGCACTTTCTATTGGCCAAGCTGGCTTCAATGATTGCAGCATCGGATTTTGACTTCATCCCGATCTATGTTCACATCCAGCCTGAAAGTTCGCCAGTTCCCCTGTTCCCTCTTTCAAAATGATGCATTTAGGTATCAATTTGCATGAATAGGTACTTGGTGGTGCTGGCGGAATTTGGTCTGTACAGTAGTAGCCATTCAAAATTTCCCGAATTCCTTAATAGATCCTTGGCTGGCCCTTGGCTGGTCCCCTACAATTCCTTTTTAAACATTAACCTTTGTACTAAATATTATTTCTGTCATGATTTGTGGATATTAACATCTAAAGCGAAGCGCCATCTCCTGGTCAGACCCTGTAATTCAGTAGGGTAAAGAAATATGCTAGAGGGGGTCAATCCAGTGGCTGGAAGTTGGAGAGAAGTGGGCTGCCATTCTGCTGGCATTTGACTGGGAAGGGCCATTTTGAATAGCTGCTACTGTACCTATTAAAGTACAGTACTTTATGTGGTGTCTACAGATGAGGGGGTCTAACTGTCATCTGTAGAGTAAAAAGGGGCAGGAGAGCAAACTGAAGAGGCCTGTTTTTTGGCAATAATCATGGTAGGTGGGAGACTATGACAATACATCGTTAAATTCCAGTTTTTTATTGTGTTGTAGTTTGGTTGCAGCTTAGTCACATAATTTATTGTCTAAAGGGTTTTAATTTGAAGGTCAAAGTACTGTGTTGATAAATTCTGGTGCATGTTTGTTCTGTAGAGCTTGCTGCTTGATACAAAAAGCAGTAATTCTATATAACACGGGGAGTGTTGTGCCAGTGTCCAACACTCCATGTATTGTTGTGTAAAACCACACCTCTTCATAGAGAATAATTGAAAGACGCCCGAAGGTGTTTGATTATTATTGGGGGTGTTTACTGGGTGGTTTGAGAGCAGCCAAGGTGCAGACTGAAACTGTTGCTATGAGGTCCTGAGCAACAACCTTAAACCCAAAATGCTCAATGTATGCTAACAGCTAGGCAGCACAATGCTCACTTAACATGGAGGACAAACCTCCTTTATTGAGCGACCAGAAAAACTTCTTTCCAATCAATTCCTGATCATTGGGTCAGGCCTGACTTTTTATTCATAAAGATTTCTTATAACAAAGGAGTTTAAAGAAAGGACTCTATTATCTTCAAGCTTTTCCAAAGGGAAAGATCATCCTGTTGTATTGTTTTAAGTCACTGTGGGCGCCATAGAGAGAACTTCTCTACCTTTGCTCAGCGTCTGACCTGATACCCCCTCCAGCTCCTATCAGTGGGATGCACCAGCATAACCAACTCACCACCAGGTGGTGATGGCCGGACACCTTCAACCCTCTCTTTGACCAAGTGCCCAAGATTTGCAGCCAAAGGTCACCAGATTTGACCTCTGACCTAGGACGCTCAAGTGCACAGAAGGACATCGTTATGCTTGAACATTATGATGGAAAACCTTCAGGTCAGAGAAACAGAGTGCCGTTTGATAAAACAAACTGCCATAAGAACAAAATGTTTCCTCAGACCGTCTCTCTGATAAACTCAGCTTTTCTAGAAAAAATATCTATTTGAACAAAAAAAATGAAAATAAAAAAAGTGTTGAACTGAACAAACCCCTAGATGTTCATAACGCTGCTTATCCTCATCCGATTCCTTCCTTACATATTAGCTGATCTCGATACGATGCGAGTATTCCTTGTTTAGGAACCAAACCTGGCTAATAAAGTTAAGTTTATGCTTTTTTTATTGTCATATTTGAAGAATCCTCCTTTACTAAATCATCTCCACTGGTTCCAGATCAGTCCCCAGGACACCAGCAGCCACATTTTACATCAAACACTAAAGCAGTGAAGTTATGTTGCCAAGAACGTTCTGCTCAGTCCCTTCTTATAGGCGGCTTCACATTTCTAACCCCACATGTTGCCAGACTGAAAAAGACGGATTCATATATTTAGACATGTTTGTATTTTAATCTAAAATCGTTGCTCCCGTTTTGTTTTTGTGCACAGTTGTTTCTACACCATGCCAAGCCCTCAAACTGCTCCCTGTTCTCAGCTCTGCCATCAGATTCTTCAGAGTATTTGTGCTGAAAGTCTGAGGAATACAGAGCAGTAAGGAGCAGTGAGAGTCCCCCCCCCCCCCCCCCCCCCTGTGGTGCTGACTGCCCCATCGAGGACTTGGCTCTTTAGTCTTACTAACAGTGGTATGTTTGTCAGTGCTGTTAGTCTGTCAAGGCAGCAGCAATAAGCAAACTGCAGGGGGTCCTGATAGCTGTTAGTCAGGTGGGCCAAAAGAAGCCTCTCTCTAGGACCTTCCTGATGAAGGACGTCAGAGAAACAGCCCTACAGTCTTTGAAGAATAGTGGCTGAGTTTTATTTTCTACAGGAACATGAAAGAGTTTGGATCTTATCTTTAATGGGGATTTTCTAAGCAGAAAACTACATTTTGGGGTTAATTAGCCTCCAGATTTCCGTCACTATCCAGAAAATGGAGCTTAATGTAACGTTCAGGTTCAACACAGGGGAGGAAGAAACTCACCATGCAGCAGGAGTCCAGATCTCTTGGTTCTGCTGTAAATCCGAAGCGCCTCTTCCAGCTCCATCTGAGAGGAGATGGTGCAAGGATCTCCTGCAAACACATACATGGTTCTGTTCAGGATGAGTTTGGATGGTCAGCTGATCATGGACTGGGAGGCCAATCCGAGGTCGGTCAGACTAAACACCAGTTAGACGAGAGCTAAATGAAACAGGTTTCATTCAAAGATCTCTTTCTAGAATCTGGAGATATATTAAACACGATGAGGTCAATATACCTTCCATCCCCTGTGAATATTAAATAATCCACAGAGGATCCAGTGCTGGTTTACACCGAATCCCAGACCGTTGTTTAGTTCAGAGTGGTGAGTAGATATTGGTGATTTTCACACAGGATCCTCTGGTGAGTTACACAAGCTCAAATAAAGCTTAAAAGGAACTTAAATCTACTCTTTAATATGAGATCAGATTGACGTCTGTTCTGATGTTGGAGGCAGAGTCAAGCTGTCATTTAGCTGAAACATCAATTCAATTCAGTTTATTTCTATAGCGCCAATTCACAACACAAGTCATCTCAAGGCACTTTACAGTTCAACCAGATCATCCAGTCAGATTGATTTAAAGTTTTCTATCTAAGGAAAACCAGTTGATTGCATCGACTCATTGACTTAAATACAATCCCTCACACTAAGCATGCTTGTAGCGACAGTGGAGAGGAAAAACTCCCTTTTAACAGGAAGAAACCTCCAGCAGAACCAGGCTCAGTGTGAGCGGCCATCTGCTGAGGCCCACTGGGGTTCAAGGAGACAGAAGCAGACATAGAAAACCCAACTGTAAAAGGCAGCTCCCGTCCAGAAAACACAGCCAGGCAGACGAGCTCTAATGCTACGTTCACACCGGACGCAGCAAGAACAGCAAAATCGCGTCTGCTGCCTCATTTTTGCTGCTTGTACCAGTTAGTTCTGACGTGCGGCTGAAGCAGCTTTGCTGCTCTGGCTGCGCGGTGCAAAAGTGTGTCTGACGTGCGTTGGGCGGAGCTACTCTATCCTTTCCCTGCCTTGCAGCTATATGTGCTGTGATCAGTGGGAATAAAGTAGTTTTAATGTTTTTAAGTGAGAAAATACACCTGAAAACTTCATCAGTGCAGTCAGTTCATCCAGATTACAATCCTGCCTTCCAATGTTATTTCTGTCGGAGCCACTCAGACCCCCACATACCAGCGGTGCGCCGACAGTAGGAATCCCTTCAACAGCAGCCTCTGGCCGGGTCGCCTCCTCGCGGTTCACCGCGGCAGCTGGTAGGTGTTTTTCATCTAAATAAACCGATCTGCAGGCAGCAGGATAATAAAAGCGAACATATTCTGCCAGATGATTTCTGCATTTTAAGTTAATTTAGGCATCAATAAACTGTTTCAGAGGAGTGATCACAGCGCTCTGTATCATCAGCGCTGTGTCTCTCTCCCTATCAGCTTCTCTGATTGGTTGACGTGGCGCGTCAAGCAGCAAAAATTAAATTTTTCCATCTCGAGCAGCAGCGCGTTTGCGGCGCCTCATGTGCGCTCCCGACACGCTGCTTCAGCTGCTCAGACGCGCTGCGCCTGCTGCTTACAAAGCGCCGCGGGACCTTTTGCTGCACCTTGACGAGCGTCAACCTTTGATTTTGCATGTAAACTTGCTGCTTCTGTGGTCCCAGCTGTGTCCGGTGTGAACGCAGCATTAGCCAGCTCCCATGTCAGAGGGTGAAGTGAGCACATCCAGCCAGTCACAGTCAGAGAAACAGGATTACACTGAAAAACATGCTGATCTATAAACAAAGGTGTTGATGGCAGCAGCACAGCTGATATTTCTTTCCAGGATGGAGTCACAGCCAAACAGGAACAGACCAGATGAAGCTACTATGAGAAAAAGCAGAGAGAGCAGAACGCTAGAGATTGAACTAACAGATTCTGCAGAGTGGGAAAATAGAAATATAATGAAGCAGAATGATGAAATGGGGGTCCCTATGTCCTCCAGCAGTCTAAGCCTATAGCAGCATAACTATAGAGATAGCTCAGGATAACCTGAGCCACTCTAACTAGAAACTTTATCAAAAAGGAATGTTTTAAGCCTAGCCTTAAAAGTAGACAGGGTGTCTGCCTCACAGACTAAAGGATATGAAACCAGTGTTAGAAACTCTGGTTCAGCTAAAAAAAAAGTTAAAATATATATTTCATAATCAAGTGATGAAATTATTAATTTTCACTATGAAAGGCTGAACAAGGAAATCTGAACTTACAGGAAGCATCTTTTGTCTCCACGTTACTTTACTCACTATAATCAGTTAAACTACTTCTCTTCATGTCTTCATCTTTAATCTGCTTTTAACAAACTAAGTAAGTTTTACATTATTTAAAAAACTAAATAAATGTTCCTTTTGAATACAATGACAGCATTGAGAAATATATACATTTAATCTTTCAAAATATTTCTGATAAATTGGTTCCAATCAATATTAGAGGCAGAAATTAAATTCTATAACCAGGAAAGTTGGCAGCGTGGCCAGGAAAAAATACAAGATTGGAGATAATCCAAAACTACTTGTACCTTTCATCCTGACACACTGAGAGAATGTTATGATGAGGTTAATTAAATCACATTCAGCGGTTAATATGCTGCCAGTGACAGCTCGTCCAATCAGGATGGGCGCAGGGAAAATGCTTCAGAGGTGAAGACTGGGACTGACCTCATTATGTCCTGACCCTAAGCAGCATCTACACACCCAACTTTAAAATTAACCTTAACTAAATACACACTACTAGTCATGAACTTTTCACAGCACCATCCGGGTTGGACGCAGCCGAGACCCCGTCAGAATGATGGCGCAGAATTTAAATATCTCCTTTTTTGAAGAGAGTTTGAGTCGGAAATGATCTATTTTGTTTTCCAATGAGCTTGGAGAGCAGGATTGATGGAAGCGGGGGTCTGCGGTGATCTCTCTTTAGCTTCGCAGCTAGCCCCCCTCTGCAGCCTCGCTTTCTCCATCTCACGCATCTCTTCCTCCGTCCGTTAATTTCCGCTGTTGGTTTGTTAATATTAGCCCGTAGCAGTCAGCAGCTTTTTAAAATGTCGGTGTTTAAAACGTTTAGTGACTGTAGCTCCAGCAGGCGATGGTGATCATAGATGCAGGTTTGATGTCTAGTTTGTATCGTTTTAAAATAAAATGTCCTCACTAATAGATCCGCCTATCAGGTTAAACTTTGCTGGTTTGGGGTTAAAACCTGAAACACGACTAGAAAATGTAAATCAGACATTATGTGAGTTAAGAAAACCTGCTTTGACTCCAACGTTCCTGGAATTCTCTTTAATGCCCTTATAGCTCAGAAAAACCAGAGGGAGACAGGCTTAGAAGAGCAGACAGATCCACCAGATCCCCACTTCCACAGTAGGTGCAGCTGGCTGCTGTTCGCTGTTCTGGACCGGTCATGGGCCGCAGGGACTGAGCTGGACCGGTCATGGGCCGCAGGGACCGGTCATGGGCCGCAGGGACTAATCATGGGCCACGCTGCCATCTGATCTTTGAATGGAGGAATGGATACTCCATCTTTTTTTTAGCCTGAGGCTGCTGCCGCCTGCAGAGGCTTTGCCAAACCTCCACTTGCTGCTCTTGGCTGCTGCTACAGGCATCCAGCACCCTCCAACTCTACACTAATGCTCAACATCATCAGAACAATAGAAAAGGTCGAAGGTCAAGCTAACATTCTATCTACTGTACTTTAAACCCAGGTACATCTCTGCTTTAAAAACGGCTGTAAACCATCTGTAATTATCCTTCCTGTGGAGCTGCTCTGCTTCTCCAAGCTCCACGTCTGAAACGCTTCAACATGACATAAAAAAGAAGCATTTGATTTTTTTATTGCCATGATTATTTCCCAATAAACCGCTAGTTTTCCACACCGGCAGCTTTAGCCGCCTCTTCTTCATCCAGAGCCCCTGGAGTAATAAAGTTATGTCTAACTGCCTCATATCAGCTGTTTCAGATGTTAGCAGCAGTAAACTGGACACTCTGCCCTGCAGATTAAACCAACCATCCCTTCCAGAATGAGCCGGGAAAAATGTCAACTCTCAGGCAGGTTGGGTGAGAAAAGCAGCTCCTGCATCATAATAAAAGTTCTGTCACTGCAACCACACCTCCTCTGCTACCGGTCTTTAGGGCTATAAAGCTTTGACCTGTGAAACCTGCTAATAAGAACTGCAGCAGCGGAAAAAAACAAGAACAGCTTTGAAAGATTTAAAACTTTTCTGCAGAGCTTCTGTCTGATGTTCAACGGCAGGACTGACGTCAGACTGGCACTAACTCATTTTAAGACCCAATTTAAACTGGCTTATATTAGCATATAGGATGGTTAGCAGCAGCTGGTTTATTGTCTACATAATGTAGATCTAGAATTAACCATGTTGTTACATTAGAGGGGTCATTTGGGCCTTTAACAGTGGCCCCTCAGACGGTTTTAAAAGAGTCCGGTCAGCAAGGAATAACCAAGGATCATTATTTATACCTAAAACTAATAAGTTCGCTGTGATTAACTGAATTTAGCGTTAATCATTAAAAGAAATAAAAACAATAATTTTCATCCCAAATATAGTAACCCCTCCCTCCTGCCATCTTCCAGCAGTGACGTCACGGTGCGGTAAGCCTAGCGCCATTCTCCCCGCTTTACAAGCTAAATCAATGGGAACTACTAGACACATCTGCAATCAACAACCATTATTGAAGATTTCCAGAGGACTTCACCATTGAAATTCACCAGAGCTATAGTGAAACTGACAATGCCCACGTGCATGGCAGCTGGATGCTGGAATACATCGGGTAAAAGTGAATAAAAACAGTTATTCCCGTTTCTGATTCCTGATCCTCCACGGACGGGTTGGTCGTTGGATCGCCAACTTGAAGAGGGAGGATTTGCCATCAAACTTCTGGCCAGAGAAAAAACCCGTAATATGTAGGCAACATTTGGAAGAAGAATGTTTTCAAGATGACTTGGATAATAGCTCGTTGTGACAAACACCAGATACAGCACTGGGACTATGACTGGACTTTTCCTTTAAAACCTGCAATACGATTGGAAAACGTAAATCAGACATTGTCTGTCTTAAAAAAAGAACCGGAACCCTCTGTAATTTCTGCCTCTGCATGGACGGGTGTCCTCTCTGCATCAGTCCAACAAGGAGTCTCAGACCAGAACGTTAACAGCCGACAGAACAAGTTCCGGTGGTCTTTAAACTTTTCCAGAGGTGTGATGACAGCATTCCCATCTGTTCAGCTGATCCCAACCAGAACTCTTCTAGTCCAGAATCAACTCAACCAAAGGCATTCAGGCCTCTCCCTTTAAAGGCAGCTAAACTTCACCTGCTGATACTGAAACTTTCATTACAACAACCAACGTCTTTATTACTATTACTTAAGGAAAGAAACTCCTTCCACCTGCGTTTATGTCGAGGAACCTGCCGTTAACTCCGTCCCCCGCACTCATTAAAGGTCAGTGGGGATGATCAAACTCGACACATTTTTCTGCAAGAGGTCTTGGTTAGCTATCAGCTCTCAGACTACGCAGCAATATCATAGGTCTGACAGGAAGAGAGACACGGTTACAAAATAAAACACATCTACTTTGGGGGAAAATACAGGATAAAATTTGTTAATCGAACGGGGAAAGAGTCAGTTTGGAGTCACACATTGACTATATAGTTCAGACTGGTGCAAAAACAATGAATGAAACACTAAAATAGAACAATTTACCCATGATAGGAGTTTGGGAGGACAGAAAACGGATAAAGTAGTGATCCTCTTTGAGCCTCACAAAACTAATGAGGGACAGAGAAAACAGTTTATCAAGTCCTTAAAATAAATTACTTCAGGAGGAGAAAAATCAGATACTGTATAGTAAAGTAGTGATGCTCTTTGAGCCTCACTAAAAGACAAAATAATGAGGGGCAGACAGAGCAGGTAAGTGCAGCGTATCTCCCTCACCTGTTTATGAAAAAAAGAAAGAAAAACTTGGATAAACCTCCCAGATCTCTCTGAGAATCATCTCAGTCGCTATAATAACCGTCCCACGGCGTTTATTGCTACGTTTTTATTTTCTTTAGCCAGAGATCTTATTGTGTTTTTAATATATGAACACAGAACACAGACTCATTAAGTGGGTTTGCTTTATAGAATCTATATTTTTATATGTATATATATTTCTATAGATGTTCATAATCTGTCCAAGTCAATTGTGGTTTTAAATTTTGTGGCACAGAGACAGAGGTGGAGAAAATCTGTGCAGATCTGCTCATCCTGCCTAGTTGCAGCCTCTCTATAGGCAGGCAGTGTGACATAGAAAAAAATCGGATCAGAGATTAAAAAGTTGTATGCAACCGGTTAGTTCTGGCCTTAAGGCTGAATTTAAGCAATTCTTTAGTAGAAGCAATAATTCTACTGTCCACGTGTCTACGCTGAGATCAAACTTTAATTCCTTGTTTTTGTTTCAAACAGATTAAAACCAGCTCATGTCTCTGTTTCTCCTCCTAAATTTTTCATGTCCCAGATTTAAATCTCCAGATTTCTCTGAAATGTTAGTTTGATTATAGATCCGTAAAATGAGATAATTGGTGGATTTCTTACAGCAGCTGATCAGAAGGACAAACCAATCTAAAGCTAAAGCAGAGATCACTATGAGAAGAGAAGGAAACCTGCAGTTAGTGCAGATGGAAACTTTAACTCAGGGTTCCACAAAAAACGAGGCTTAGTCTAAGCCAGTCCAAGTCAAGTCAGGTCTAAAGTCAGGGTTAAATCTTCAACAGCTGAACTGAAGCAGCTCTTATCAGACCCAGAACATCCAGAGTGGGTCTAACTCTGCATCTCAGATGGTTTCAGATCCAAACCTCGGCCTGTACTAACATTAACATTTGTCTTTTAATATTTTATAACATCTGTCTTTATTATTTAAATTTACCCTCTACAGATCTGCAAAAAGCTGCTTTATTTAAAACTAAACTTGATATTTACCATTTAGAAAAATGAAAAAGGCATTTATCCCTTGAGAGAAATATCGTAAAGAAATTAAAACCTGTTAATAATGGATTAGATCTCAGTTAAAAGCTGTTTTATCTTTATTTCCCATTCTATCATTAATGAAACTAAATCTGGTTTGAAGGCTTTTCTCTGCTTCGCTCTGAGAAAACTAAAAATCAGAAATTTAAACTGTCATTCTCTATCCTGGAGAGTAAAGATGTTTATATTCATTGCATCAATTATAAAATCACGATAGAAAATGCAGTTCACTTCTGAATGAACAAAACAGGAAGAGCTTTTATTTTGAAATGTGGATCCTGGTAATGATGCAGCTCTCTAAGCACCTATTAGTTTTTATTCCACTTATTTAAGATCTGTCCAGTTACTTTTAGATCATGTCGTTTCTCCCTGGTTATTTTTTTTTTTGCCCCCTAGTGTTCTTTCCTTTCCTCTTAGCTCCTTCTAGTTACTTCTGTCTACACCTGCTCCCAATTAGCTAATTAGATAATTATTCTGTCTCCCATATATTTATGTCCTGTTCAGTCACTCATTTGCTGAGTTTGAATTCAGCGGCTGCTTTCTCCAAAGGCCAAATTCGTTGGACGATCACGTCATAGCGAGGCCTGTACAGATTGGAAGACTCCTCGTTATGCCGCCAACAAATGCATCCTTCTTTTTGCCCATTTTGATAGACAGGTCCAGTGTATCTTCCGTAGCTTTGGGTATTGCGAGTCCAAGCAAGCCGGCTGCTCCATGCTCAGGAAAAAGGCTCAGAACAGTGGTGATTATTGGAAGTGCAGTTTAATATAATAATAATTAATAATAATAATAATTGAACTTTATTGATCTCACATTGTAGAAATTTATCTCTGCATTTATCTCAACAGTGGGCTGCCATTGTTCAACACCCGGGGAGCAGTGTGAAGTTAAGGGTCTTGCTCAGTAACCCAGAGTGGAGGCTGTGGCGATTGAACCGGGTACTTACAACCTTCTCAGAGCACAAGCGCACTGCTCTTAACCACTGCAAAGTGAATGTGATTGGTCAATTATCAAGGGGGCAGGATTGATGTGGCGGAAGGCTCGCAAGCATGTTTGGTTGTGGCCGGTGTCTCAGAAGTACCTTGCTAACCAGTTAGCAACTTGGTGCTTGTAAGTTCCCATTGGGACCAAGTAGCACTAAATTGGTGACTTAGAAACAACACTGTCAGGGAACGCTATGGACAGCGGAAACATGCAAGAGGAGGAGAGTTTTGGCCATTGAACGGAACCCGGACCAGTTAACGGAACATGAGGGATTAATAGAAAACATCCAGATAACAAAAAACAAAGTTCTGACGGCTCAGAAATCTGGATGATTTCTCTGACTGATCATTTTTATAATTATGATGTAATCGTGGGACCAACCTCCAGCTTTTTTGCAACCCGTCCCATCCCCCATCCCACTCCCACAGGGGACAAAGGGGCCCCTGCTGTTTCTCTATCTTGGGGTCTGTGGCCCTCATGTCAAAGTCTGATGTGTCTGAGGTGTAGGAAATGTTACTGGGATGTGATGATGGTGATGGTAAAGAAGAAGAGTCCAGCAAACAGCCCTCAGTCAGCAGCGGATTTTAACCGAGGACCCCAGAGAGTTTAGGGACGGGTCCCCAGCAGGAAGCAGAGTAATTTAAGGTATCTGACCATGAAGCTCGTTCACCTTCATCGTCGATCCACTTCAGAGTGATGGGTTGTTGCCTAGCAACGCTGCACATTGTTTTCACTTCCTCACACAGCTCCACGAAGCTCACTGAAGATGGCATGTCAGTGATCAACATGTACCTGAAGAACAGAAACACAGAACAGACGTCACCTCAGAGGAAAGAGACTAAACTTCTCCTCCCTGAGGTTAGGAGATAAGAAGCTGAGTCTCCTTCTGTGGCCGTCTGCTGAAGGCCTTTACAGGCAGGTCATCATTAAACAGCAGAAATAAAACTCATCTAACAGGATCGTTTGCTGAATTTATAAATGAGAAGGAAAATAAAGCAAAATAAAGAATAATCTATCTTAAATAACCTGAGATTACTTTCAATCTAAGGACTTTAAATGATCCAATCAAAGCCCAACTGAAAAACCTAGCAGGCAAGGATATTTAATGAAATGTAATATCAGAAAATGAGTTGGAGCTTCAGGATGTGAACAAAAAAAAACTTGTTTTATTATTTTAACCTCCTCTCCCAGAGCGGCCCTAAAAGCTTAAATCTAACAATCTATAACAAACACATCTGGGATTCCAGAAACAGAAAAATCTAAAATAAAGTGGATTCATCAAATACAGGGTGAAGAATCTCAATCATTTATTTCTAAGTTTCATGATTATGGTCTAAAGAGAATAAATATTAAATAAAAATTAAAAGGTACAGAGGATGAGCAGTGATCACATGGTGAAGTTTGCAGACGACACCACGGTGGTGGGCCTCATCAGAGACGACAACGACCTGGACTACAGAGAGGAGGTGGAGCAGCTGGTGGAGCAGAGATAACAGCCTGATCCTGAAGGTGGAGGAGACCAAGGAGATCATGGTGGACTTCAGGAAGAACCGGCCTAACCACGCTCCACTGCTCATCAACAGCTCAGCTGTAGAGGTGGTCAGCAGCACCACATTCATCACAGACACCCTCACCTGGACTGGAGACACCACCTCACTGGTCCAAAGGGCCCAGAAGCGCTTGGACTTCCTGCAAGGATGTCCAAGCACTTCACAGCATTCGATGCAGGACCAGCAGGTTCTGCAGCAGCATTTTCACCTGCCGCCATCAGACTGATGAATGTTTTGTAAAATGGGTTTTTTTATTTTATTTTATGATATTTATTATATATTATCATTATATTAAAAAATAAAAATTTTAAGAACTGTAAATTTACAGTCATATGTTTATATTACTGTTTTTGTGTATTGTTTTTACTATATTTCAAGGCTGCACTTTTCAAAAAGATGAAATTGTTCCAAACTAAATTTATTTTGTTTTACACTTGTGTAAAACAAAATGACAAATAACCAGTGTTGGGCACGTTACTATTAGTTGCAGTTACTAGTTACTTCTCCCAAAAAGTTACTGAGTTACTAAGTTACTCCACAATAAAAGTAACTAGTTACTAGTAAAAGTAACTATAGTGTTACTTTTGCGTTTCTCACCCTCACCACCCAGCCCCCACCTTCTCGCGGTGTGTTTCTAAAGCCAGCTGAATAGAGCGGACGACAAAGACAAGAACCTGCAGAGAGTTTAGCATTTATTGCAACTCAACGTCAATGACAGCAGGGGGGAACGCCATCTGACGGCCCTATAAACCCCGTCAGATAGCATTTCCCCTGCTTAACATGGGGGGAACGCTATCTGATGCAATGTAAATATCATCAGGCTGCATTGCCTCTACTCATGGGTGTGAAGTTTTTTAACAGGGCGTTCAGATCTGGTGAGTTTATGAAATTAATAACTGGGGATGTCTAATTGTGAAATCCTGTGTGTTTGGGTTGTTATAGATAATCCAACATCCGTCCGTCCATCACTAATCCCTTCATCCACTCATTCATCATCCATCCATTCAGATTTCTCCTTTTCTCCATATAGGCTATCATTTGATCCTTCACGCTCTCCATAGTTCTCCTGTGGCGCGAGCACAGGGCAACTGTTGCGTGCCTTTAGCGAGCATGCGCGTTTCCTGTCGCATGTGCGTGAATCGTGCCGGCGCGCTGTGCGGAGATGCAGGGGAAACCGTATCTGATGGGGAAACGCAGCTCGATGTAACACCGGTATTTCCATCTGGAAAATGCAGTTTTGCTGCTGGAGTCCTCCTCACTCTCCATCTCTCTGTGTGTGCTGTACGTTAACACCCACCAGCAGAAACACCCACCTACCCAACTGACAGACGGAATCTCACTATTCATCAGCCATTCTCATCCTCCCCTCTCTCATGACAAGGCGCGCACGAGTCCTATCATGAAAAAAAAGGTTAATTGTGTGACCTGAGTAACGTGCAGTAACGGGGTGTCGGCCATGGTAACTGCGTTATAGTTACAGTCAAAGTAATTAGTTAGATTACTCGCTACTAAAAAATCTGTCTAAGTCTAAGACGTATAACTAACTGGCCTGCATAAGATAACCAAAAACCCACAGATTTTGACACAGGATTAAAAAAAAACAAAAAAAAAGACATTTTCTAAATATTGGGACAATATGGTCTGATAAAGAGTGCATTTATATACATGTTTAAGCTAGAATCAAATATAATTTCCCCACAACTTTAATATTTGAGTGTTTCTAGGGGGAATTAGGGCATTACCAAAGCTGTACATCCCCAAACAGGGGGCAAGGTTTCTATAATATTTAATAAAGGGCGTATAATGGACGCCTGTCGGCATTGCTTGCTAAAAGCCTGCTTGTCTTTACCTGCTGATCAGATGTATTTTACTCCAAATAACGTTATTCGTGTTTCATTCACACTCAAACACATTCAGCTGTATCAAGCTTGTTAGCTTTAGCACAGCTAACATACTGACTGCTGAAGCCATTTCCTAAAGCCGTCAGCTAAACCTCTACAGGTGATATTTTCTCTTCCATGCCACTAGATGGGGCTGACGCACATTTGGCCACCTGTTTGAGAACAAACGGTTATAGACATTCTGGGTTACTAATTAAGAACCAAGACTTTAGCCTCTTTGGAGTGGAGGTTATAAAATGAGCTCTGCTGATTTCAAAGGTCACTGATGCATTCACCGTTTTTCAGTTTCATCTCAGCTGTGGCCTTCGTGTTCTTATCAGCTAAACGCGTTACTAAATAAGGGTGTGAATGTTCAGTTTTCCTGTCAACACTGATTCTGGATGGTCATGCAGCTTGAACGAACGTTTAACAAAGCAGCTGTTTGGAGCCGATGGCTGCTGGGGGCCCGGGGCCAAACACACGCCCAGCAGGAACCTGTCTGAGCTGCAGCCGCTGGTCCTCCGAGTGTCTGGGTGTGTTTATAACAAACAGGAGTTGGACTCTGGCAAGGTGGAGTGGAGACAGCTGGCTTCCCAGCATGCATTGCTGATCAACAGCCACAGGAGTGAGCAGAGAGCAGCATCAGCCAGGACCTTCCTCTGACTCCCAACTAGACACAATCGGTGAAGCTGTTTCATTATTGAAAATAATGAATCAGAATCAGGGCTGCAATTAACAATTATTTTACGATTCAATAATCTTTCGATTTTTTTTCTTCGATTAATCGATTTATAATCGGATAGAAAAAGGTTCCGTAAGGAACATTTTTATGAAGGTACACTATATGAAACTGAACCTTTTCCACCTGAGTAGTTCTGGGCGGCGCACTAAGGAAACTACATCATGGTGGGGTCCTTCGCAGCCGAACGCCAGCGTTCTTTGTCATTCGTGAACCATTTGTACTGAAACTGAAATAAAGATTGATTGGATAGCGCATATTGACAGATGAAAACTATTTTCTCCTTAAATGCAATATATATATATATATATATATATATATATATATATATATATACACATTTTTTTTAGTCTCTATGCTCCAATTAACGATTCTTACTGAATTGGTTTCAACAATCTTGAGGCGCGTCTGACCTTAATGTGGACAAGCATCAAAAATGAAGCAGCAGGAGCTTTTTCCCTGCTGTGTTATGAACCTGTCGCACCTTGACGATTTAGCCAGCATATGCCTGACGTCAGAATCTTCTAAAACACTGGCATACGCTGAACGCTATGTATTTTTTCCATTTTGGGCGACATACATAGAGTATTCATAACGAGTCCAGAGCGTATGTCCAATGACAGCCTAACTTATGAAAAACGCACCACAGTGTAATTTTGATAAAATACGAAGCATCAGTTAAAGCAGCTCCCCTCAGCAGCTCCTCCGGAGGCGCCCGTTCTGCATAAATAGATGTCTTTGATTGCGGTATTAATGTAGCTGCTGTTTACCGCCCGCCCAAAAATAAAAAATAATTAAAAAGAAAAAAGAAAGAAAGAAGGTTTGCAGTCGCAGCAGATTCCGCATCATTTCTGCTAGGAAGTTTGTTGGTGGTGAGCGTGAACGCAGGGAGGATCCATCACTCACCTTCTGTCTCACCCTATGATGGGGATGAGCCATTATACATTATACAATATAACGCCATTATACAGTAGTTGGCAGTTAGAAACACGTTCAGTGCTAGTCTGGAACACGTCAGATACGTTGATTTGCATTTGAGAGAAGTTCTTGATAACTTTGGCATATGTAACTCATAGGTTTTGGATAAGCTAGACGCCAAGACTCATGAGTAACGTATGTCAACGATTGGATAACCTGCCTGTCATTTATGGCCCATGTATGGCATACGCCATATGCTGACATGTGCCAGCGTTTTCCAACGTTTTTCAGCGTGCTCATAACTTATCCAACGTAGTTTTTCTTTTCCGTATGTAAGGGATAAGCTGATCTAAATCGCCAAGATGTGACTGAGGCGTTTGGTGTGAACATAGCATTACCCTTTCTGAGTATTTGAATTAAATTATAAAACACAAAACTCAGTCGGCCTCAGCAGATGGCCGCTCACACTGAGCCTGGTTCTGCTGGAGGTTTCTTCCTGTTAAAAGGGAGTTTTTCCTCTCCACTGTCGCTACAAGCATGCTTAGTGTTTGGGTTTGTATTTGAGTCAATGAGTCAATGCAATCAACTGGTTTTCCTTAGATAGAAAACTTTGAATCAATTTGACTGGATGGTCTGGTTGAACTGTTAAGTGCCTTGAGATGACATGTGTTGTGAATTGGCGCTATAGAAATAAACTGAATTCAA